AGCGTATCCGCTGTTGGGGAATTATTATTATTATTATTATTAGTATTATCATTATTATTCTTACTATTATTATTATTGTTGTAATAATAACAACATTTATTATTATTACTATTATTATTAAGGCCCCTATACTATATGTTTTGGGGCAGGAAGCAACGCTTCAGCTCGAAAGTCGACGAATTCTTGGCCGACGGATGCGCATTGGCGGACCGGTTTCAGATGTAGAGAACTGCTTGTCATGCTGAACGCTAAGGGTCACGGTTTAGGGTTTAGGGTTTAGGGCCCTAAACAACCGAAGTCCGGGGTTAGGGTTTAGAATCGTCCCCTTAAGGGTCCATGGGCCCAAAAGGGTTCCTTTAAGGGTTCCTTTAAAGGGAGTCTATAAGGGTACTATAAGACTATGAGGGTTTTGGGTTTAAGGGTCCATGTACCCAAATAGTATATACTTTGGCCTTAATGTAGTCCCTATATAGGTACTTTAGGGCCAATGTATATACTATTCGGGTACATGGACCCTTAGGGGAATGCTGTGCTAATACACACTGTGTCGCGGAGCTCTCAAGCCATAGCCGGGTATAACAAGCTTGAAACTGGACGATAAAGACAATGCCACACTTGCAAGCTGCGCTGCTTTAGACTGAGAGCGCCGTGTACTTACGACACACCGCCGCATACGGCGAAAAGTTACTGAACCCGGACACCACAGACACCTTTGGCGTCGGGGCCTCGGTCTTCTCCCTCCTCATCCACTTCCCAATGTTCCACGGAAAACGATTTCCCGCAACAGCTGCAGCCGCAGCGGCCTCCTCCCTCTTCTTCTGCTTGAGGGCACCAAGCCGCGACTGGCAGCGTCGTTCCTCGGCTTGTTCCGCCTGTTCCTGGCGAAGCTCCAGGAGAACTTTCTCCAAATTTCGGAGATGCTCGCCATACTCAGCTTCCAGCTCATCTTCCGTCCAATCTTTGTTTCCACTAGGCGACGGCCGCGTCCATCGGCCAAACTCGATGCCTTCTCTCTCCAGGAAGCCAGTTTCGGGGATGTCTACTTTCGACATCGTCTCTTTGTGTGAGATGTGGCCTGTGGCCAGCCGCACGGCTGCAGGTATAGGCATGATCGAGGACAACTCTAAGCCCTCGTAGGAGAGCTCTAGTTCGTTCAAGACAGCTTCTTCCTCCTCATCGTTCTCATCCTCCTGCTCGTCTTCGCTTCCACTGTTCATTGCGAACTTCGTCGTCTCGTCCTCCTCCTCCTCCGCCTGCGTCACTTGCGACATCCTCTTTGCCCTGACCTCCGCCTCCGCCAAGACCTTCCGCTGCAGAACTTCTTTTAAGGCCTGCTCGTAGTTCTTCACCTCTGCCTGCAGAGTAGCCAGCCTGTCCGACTCCGTCTGCACTTCGCTAACGAGCTCTGCTTTGTGCGCCTTGCACAAGTCAGCTTCTTCTTTCAACTTCTGGGCTTGTGCCTGGTGGCTCTGCTTCTTGCGATCGTCATTGCGACGATTCTGTCGCAGAACATTGACCTCCTCTTTGTCAGCTGTAAGGGTACTGTTCATAGCTTGCAACTGACAGTGATATTGTGCGATTTGCTTAGCGGTGTTCGTGTGATGGCTAACCGATTCATTTTCTATCTTCTGTCTCCTTCTCCTCGCACGGTCTCTTTCCTCCGTGGCATTCAAGATCTCCTGTCGGAGCCTGCTCGCCTCGGAGGCCATATCCTCCAAGCGATCCTCGACTGACGAGGATTTCAACGGGCTCGGCTTCTTGTCAACATCTGGTGTGAGCGTCTCGGCCTGCGCAACCTCTCCTGGCAGCATCCGCAGCCGGTGCAGCAGCTTTTGTTGAAGTTCAACTCCAGCCACCATGACGCCTAATTTTGCCTCTGATGTGAGTCAAAAGTGCTGAGCATGACAATGTCTTTGCCAACATGCCAACCACCACTGAACGTGACCAGCACAATTCTTGGCTCTGCAGTTCTAGGGCTAACAAATCTGAAAGCCCCGAGTTGCTTAGCTCCCAAAAAGCCTCAAACGCACATATGAGGTTAGGCGGCTTTTTGTTGCACCCATGTTTCTGACTGCTGGTCAAGTAATTAAAAGGTTTTAGGCTTCAGGGGCTGGTGTTTTTAGCACATTCAGGCTACGGCTACGGGCTACCGACACAGCTACTGGGAAAGCCAGTCCTTCTTGGTTTTTCACGAACACCCACAACCCTATAAGCCCGTGAGCCCAGTCATAACCCCGTCCCTCTGTGCCTCACTCGCGTGCCCGAAGCATAAATCCGCAAACCACCTTAAACCTTACACTGAGGTTCCAATAATTAGATAAACCAAGCCTCGCTTTATTTGGGGGTCTATACGATATTTATATTAGTGAACCAAGGATGCTTCAAAGAGGTGTCCATTATCATTCACTGTCGATCTTAGAGTATATTCTATAGGGGCCCTTGTTATCAGAGCGAGCCTTGCGGTATTTTCGGCCTTAGAGGTTCGGGATTTAGGTTTTTCGGGGTTTAGGGCTTTTAGAGGTTTAGGGGTTTAGGGTTTAGGGTCTAGGGGGGTTTAGGATCTAGGGTTTAGGGTTTAGGATTCTGGGTTTAGGGCTACTGCTACAGTTACACATCAAGGAACCCTGAGGCGTCGTTGCAGCACTTGTATCAGGCATTCATATATACAAAAAGCCCGCAACCCTAAACCCAACGTAAATGAACGAATGAAACACATCAGTGAATTACTTGTTTAGCTGTCGGTATGTGTGTGTATATATATATATACGTATGTACATATACAGATATTTATACTAGACTTATATGCATATACATATGTGTATACAGTATACATATACACATGTAGGATGTGTGTGTATTATATATGCAACACTAGGGCTATGTACCGGCTGAGACTTCTCTGAGACCTGGGCCAAGGTGGCTGCAGCAGGTGCCGGGACGGAGCCTTGCGACCTCAAGTTCGGTGGTTGCTATAAATTCTATCGGGCTTAGGGGTTGGATTTGAAGCCTTGACTGTTTCAAGCCCCAGCCACAGAACTTATAGGGGCGCTACCAAAAGTAGCTTATAGCATCTTGAGCAACAGAGGCTCCTCATGGAGGCATCCGGCTTTGTCGGTGGCAACGGTCCGCGACAGAAGGACAGCGAATGAGAGCTTGGGGCTTTGAGCGCTCTGCCCAATGCCCTTCTGCAACAGTAGTCCAAAAAGCAAGAACAGAAAAGTACGACCCCCTGAGATGTGAGATCCTAAACCCCACACCCTGGAAGAACATGGTCGCAAGTGCCATTGGATCAATCACAGGCAACTTGTTCGTCACGGTTGCCGTCGCCGTCATCATATCCATCGTCAACATCACCATCAGTATCATAAGCATCACAATGAACTCCTGCAACATACTGACCATCGTAGCTAGCACCAATAACCAGCACGTGCACCAGCAGAAAAGGCAGCCGGAGCATCGCCGCCCCCACCACCGCCGTCGCCACCACCACCACCACCACCACCACCACCACCACCACCACCACCACCACCACCACCACCACCACCACCACCACCACCACCACATCTCTCATCATCAGCATCATCATCATCATCATCATCATCATCATCTTCATCTTCATCTTCATCATCTTCATCATCGTCATCGTCATCCACATTCTCCACCTCTTCCTCCTCATCACCATCATCATCATCATCATCATCATCTTCATCGTCATCGTCATCATCATCATAATCATAGTTTTGTGTCTTCGTGCTCGTCCTCGTCCTCATCGTCATCGCCAACATCATCATCATCATCATCATCATCATCATCATCATCATCATCACCATCGCCATCGCCATCGCCATCGTCATGTTCATCATCACCAGCAGCGGCAGCAGCAACAGCAACAGCAGCAGCAACGTCATCAGAATCACTGCCATATCCATACAACGACGAATCATGAGAACTCCGGTTTTGAAAAAGTAAGGACACAGGCAACCAAGAAAGCTTTCCACTTGAAAACACCTTTCTCGACCCATTTCTCGTTCCGCCCCGGCCCGCTGACTCCCTCAAAAACCACAGGACCAAAATTTTGAGGGACCCTGGTCCCTTGCGAACATTAGGGGTTGCTTTAGTACATACCGACTTGGAAGATGTCAATTTCACTGTCTGCGCCGAGTAGAACAAACCTTGTGAACGTAAGAACTCAGCACTGACAAACGAGAGGTATAAGCACACAAGTCTCATAGTGAAGCACTGCAGTGATTACAGTAGCAGCATTATTCTCACCATCGTTGGAGCATCTTTGTTGTAGCCCCGAACAAATACTAATACTCGTACCATCACCTACTAATACTCGTACCATCACCGTAAGACACCTGACGTGAAACAAGCCCGAAACTTGAACTTAACACACGACATCCACAGGTTAAAGCTCCTAGCACCCTAACCCTAAACCCTAAACCCTAAACCCTAAACCCTAAACCCTAAACCCTAAACCCTAAACCCTCAGCCCTAGCTTTGCAGGAAGCCACAAACTCGAATCTCAAGACCCCATCTCCTTTAGCATGAAGGGCTTAATAGTTACCATCACGAGCTTCGGGTTCCTCTAGGGTTTAGGGTTTAGGGTTTAGGGTTTAGGGTTTAGGGGTTTGGGTTTAGGGTTTAGGGTTTTTATTTATAGTATAACATACTCCGAAACCCGATTGAAATTATGAATGGCCCTATGTTAGGCTTGAGGAGAAGGCCTCATAGCAGTATCCTTAGGGTTTAGGGGTTAGGGTTCAGGGTTTAGATAGTCCTACTTTAACCCCCCCTCCAAAAAAAAGCTACTATGTTGTAGGGCCCCTTTTAAATTCTATATTGGGGTTCAGAACCGAACCTACCAAAGCGGTAGGTAATGGTAGGTTATGGTAGACCTCACACACCCAAATCCTACAGACCAAAGTTCCGTCCCAAAGCCCTCCGAAAGCCGCGACCTGCCCCCGGAAACTTGGTTTTAGGGTTCAGGGTTTAGGGTTTAGGGTTTAGGGTTTAGGGTTTAGGGTTTAGGGTTTAGCCAAGCCCGAGGCCCTGAGTCCAAATTCAGGTGCCTGGGAACTGGAGTACTTTTAGGGTTTAGGGTTTAGGGTTTAGGGTATACCCGAACACTACGACCAAGGGTACCTGCACTACAACGACAAGTATACTCGAACACTTTTTCGGCCTGTTCCATAAGGGAACCAGTGTGAAATAAGGGTAAATGTTTTTTTCCTCCTTTTCTGAGCCCAAATTCAGGTGGGAGTTTCCGAAAATAGGGGACCCTAATATAGTACCCTAAATAATAGGATCCTTATTATAAGGACCCCAAAATAAGGTATCCTAATTTTCGGAAACCCCCAGGTGTTGGTTGGCTTCTCCATGGGTGGTGGCCTCGCCATGGAGCTGGCCATGCGCATTGCCGACGGGGCCCCTGGAGGTTCTAACATTGGGGGTTTAGGGTTTAACGGGGTTTAGGGTTTAGTAAAGGGGTTTAGGGTTTATGGTTATAAGGGCTTAGGGCTTAGGGTTTAACTGGCTTCGAGCTTTGGGTTTAGGGTTTAGGGGCTTAGTAAAACCCCTAAACCCGAACCCCCTGAACCCTAAACCCTAAACCGTGGTTGGAGGTATGACTTGCGGGGCAGCTTCGATTATCGTGCTAGCGGCACCGTGAACGGATGCTGTAACTAACCTTTCGGACCTGAAAGTTCGGGGTTCAGGGTTTAGGGTTTAGGGTTTGTCGCAGAGCTTGTTTAGGTTGAAGGCTTTCCGGGGTTTGAAGCTTGAAGTTTAGCACATTTGTGTTTTGCGTTGCCCAGACCCTACTCTAATGCTTAATGAATTACAGCCTTACATTAGCTGCTTGACAATCCGCACATGTAGCAAAGTAGGTTCCAGTAGGGATGGAGAAATAAGGTGAAGGCCAGCAAGGCGGAATATCAGTATCTTCATGCCGTTGAAGTAAAGCGTAAGGAATCCCCGCACCAATCAGCCTTAATCCCTAAAACCTAATCCCTAATCCCCAAACCCTAAGCCCTCAGCCTTAAGCCCTAAGACCTAAACCCTAAACCCCAAACCCTCAGCCTTAAACCCTAAGACCTCAACCCTAAACCCTGAGCCCTAATCCATGTTCTAGCGTTCCGGAGTTCCCTGCATCTTGTGCTTTCAGGGTTTTGGATGCGTCTGCCCCGACAAGGATCAGACCGGACCCTAAACCCTAGGCCCGCATGCCTTGTACGCTTCATGAGGATTTGTTTTAGGGACTTTAGGGTTTTACAGGGTTTTTAGAGGTTTTAATAGGAATCTTTTTTGTAATAGGTAACTAGACATAAAAGTTCTTGGGGTCCCTTGGTAGCATTATGCTTCAATATGCACCAACACCCGCTTCTGTTTATTGAGGCCCGGTCCATTAAACCTACAACCCAAGTCCTTAGCCTCAGAACCTACACCTAAACCCTGTCTTACTGTAACCCCCCCAAAACCTACTATTGTGTAGGGTCCCTATACTTTCTATATTTGGGGTTCACAATAAGAACCTACAAACAAGGTAGGTAATGGTAGGTTATGGGAAACACTAAAGCGCCAAACCATTCCAAACCCTGAATCCCCAAACCCTCAACCCCAAACCCTAAACCCTAAACCCTAAACCCTAAACCCCTAAACCCTAAACCCTAAACCCTCAACCCTAAATCCTAAACCGAAGCCAAAGCCGGTCAGCCTAGAACCATCGTTCCAAGGCCGCCCCCAACTGCCCGGAACCTCTGGCGGCTAGAGCCTCAAAGTTTCAACGCTTCAGGGTTTCGGCGATAGGGTTTACCCAGAGGGTCCATATATACTACCATTATGGAATTTGGCCTTA